CAGCACGTCTTCCGGATCCATGGACTTCCGGTCGATATGGTCTCCGATCGTGGTCCTCAGTTCTCGTCCCAATTCTGGAAGGCGTTCTGCACCCTCACTGGGTCATCGGCCAGCCTGTCCTCCGGGTTTCATCCCCAATCTAACGGCCAGTCGGAGTGAGCCAATCAGGACCTGGAGACGACTCTTCGTTGCCTCGTCTCTGCCAACCCCACCTTCTGGAGCCAGCAACTCGTGTGGGTGGAGTTCGCCCGCAACATCCTTCCCTGCTCGGCCACTGGTGTCTTGCCCTTCGAGTGTTCCTTGGGTTACCAGTCTCTGCTCTTCCCTGAGCAAGAGGAAGAAGTCAGCATACCCTCGGCCCAGATGTTCGTCTGCCGCTGTTGGCGTACCTAGAAGAGAGCCTTGTCCACTCTTCTTAAGACCACCTCCGTGTATCGCAACAGGCGGACTGCCACCAGACCACGGCTCTCTGCTATCGTCTCGGGCAGAGGGTATAGCTCTCCACTCGGGATCTGCTCCTCCGGGTGGAGTCCCGTAAACTTTCCCCCCGCTTTATCGGCCCTTTCCCCATCTCTAAAATCCTTAGCCCCACTGCTGTTCGTTTTCTGTTGCCCCACACTCTCCATATACAGTCGTGGTCAAAGGTTTTGAGAATGACACAAGTATTGGTCTTCACAAAGTTTGCTGCTTCAGTGTTTTTAGATATTTTTGTCAGATGTTACTATGGTATACTAGAGTATAATTACAAGCATTCCATAAGTGTCAAAGGCTTTTATTGAAAATTACATTAAGTTAATGCAAAGAGTCAATATTTGCAGTGTTGACCCTGCTTTTTCAAGACCTCTGCAATCCGCCCTGGCATGCTGTCAATTAACTTCTGGGCCACATCCTGACTGATGGGCAGCCCATTCTTGCATAATCAATGCTTGGAGTTTGTTAGAATTTGTGGGTTTTTGTTTGTCCACCTGCCTCTTGAGGATTGACCACAAGTTCTCAATGGGATTAAGGTCTGGGGAGTTTCCTGGCCATGGACCCAAAATGTCGATGTTTTGTTCCCCGAGCCACTTAGTTATCACTTTTGCCTAATGGCAAGGTGCTCCATCATGCTGGAAAAGGCACTGTTCTTGGATGGTTGGGAGAAGTTGCTCTCGGAGGATGTGTTGGGACCATTCTTTATTCATGGCTGTGTTCTTAGGCAAAATTGTGAGTGAGGCCACTCCCTTGGCTGAGAAGCAACCCCACACATGAATGGTCTCAGGATGCTTTACTGTTGGCATGACACAGGACTGATGGTAGCGCTCACCTTGTCTTCTCCGGACAAGCTTTTTTCCGGATGCCCCAAACAATCGGAAAGGTGATTCATCAGAGAAAATGACTTTACCCCAGTCCTCAGCAGTCCAATCCCTGTACCTTTTGCAGAATATCGGTCTGTCCCTGATGTTTTTCCTGGAGAGAAGTGGCTTCCTCGCTGCCCTTCTTGACACCAGGCCATCCTCCAAAAGTCTTCGCCTCACTGTGCGTGCAGATGCACTCACACCTGCCTGCTGCCATTCCTGAGCAAGCTCTGCACTGGTGGTGCCCCGATCCCGCAGCTGAATCAACTTTAGGAGACGGTCCTGGCGCTTTCTGGACTTTCTTGGGCGCCCTGAAGCCTTCTTCATAACAATTGAACCTCTCTCCTTGAAGTTCTTGATGATCCGATAAATGGTTGATTTAGGTGCAATCTTACTAGCAGCAATATCCTTGCCTGTGAAGCCCTTTTTGTGCAAACGTGATGACGGCACGTGTTTCCTTGCAGGTAACCATAGTTAACAGAGGAAGAACAATGATTTCAAGCACCACCCTCCTTTTAAAGCTTCCAGTCTGTTATTCTAACTCAATCAGCATGACAGAGTGATCTCCAGCCTTTTCCTCATCAACACTCTCACCTGTGTTAACGAGAGAATCACTGACATGATGTCAGCTGGTCCTTTTGTGGCAGGGCTGAAATGCAGTGGAAATGTTTTTTGGGGATTAACTTCAATTTCATGGCAAAGAGGGACTTTGCAATTCATTGTAATTCATCTGATCACGACTGTCCATCCCACTTTCCATGTGTCTAGGATTTAAACCTCTGTCTCACAGCCCTTTGTCTCATGTTTACTACATGATTCCATATGTGTTATTTCATAGTTTATGTCTTCGCTATTATTCTACAATGTAAAAATAAAGAAAAACCCTTGAATGAGTAGGTGTGTCCAAACTTTTGACTGGTAGTGTATATATCATTCATGTAAGACGAAAAATAAAGGCATGGCACGTTGCACAAGCCCTGCACTTTAAAAATGGCTGTGTTCCTATGGGAATTTGAACATGTTTAGAGCGTCACCATTTTGGAATTTATTTATTTTTATTTTACTAGGCAAGTCAGTTAAGAACAAATTCTTATTTACAATGACGGCCTACACCGGCCAAACCCGGACGTCGCTGGGCCAATTGTGCGCCGCCCTATGGGACTCCCAATCACGGCCGGTTGTGATACAGCCTGGAATCGAACCAGGGGGTCTGTAGTGACGCCTCAAGCACTGAGATGCAGTGCCTTAGACCACTGCGCCACTCGGGAGTGGTAGTTGGTGACATTTTATTTCAAACCTAGACTTTCAAATCTCTTATTCCCCAAACATTTGTTTTGCTTTTCTTTGTCTGCTGTTGCTGACTCTGTAATAGTCACGTTTGGACACACCTACTAATTCAAGGGTTTTTCCTTATTTTTTAAATGTTTTACATTGTAGAATAATAGTGAAGACATCACAACTATGAAATAACACATATGGAATCATGTAGTAAACAAAAAAGTGTTAAACAAATCAAAATATATTTGAGATTCTTCAAATAGCCACCCTTTGCCTAGATGACAGCTTTGCACACTCTTGGCATTCTCTCAACCAGCTTCACCTGGAATGCTTTTCCAACAGTCTTGAAGGAGTTCCCACATATGCTGAGCACTTGTTGGCTGTTTTTCCTTCACTCTGCCGTCCGACTCATCCCAAACCATCTCAATTGGGTTGAGGTTGGGGGATTGTGGAAGCCAGGTCATCTGATGCAGCACTCCATCACTTTCCTTCTTGGTAAAGTAGCCCTTACACAGCCTGGAGGTGTGTTGGGTCATTGTCCTGTTGAAAAACAATTGATAGTCCCACTAAGCCCAAACCAGATGGGATGGCGTATCGCTGCAGAATGCTGTGGTAGCCATGCTGGTTAAGTGTGCCTTGAATTCTAAATAAATCACAGACAGTGTCACCAGCAAAGCACCACCACACCATAACACCTCCTCCTCCATGCTTTACGTTGGGAAATACACATGCGGAGATCATCCGTTCACCCACACCGCGTCTCACAAAGACACAGCGATTTGTACCAAAAATCTCCCAATTTGAACTCCAGACCAAAGGACACTTTTCCGCCAGTTTCATCATAGCGCTTGATGGTTTTTGCGACTGCACTTGGAGAAACTTTCAAAGTTCTTGAAATGTTCCGTATTGACTGACCTTCATGTCTTAAAGTAATGATGAACTGTTGTTTCTCTTTGCTTGTTTGAGCTGTTCTTGCCATAATATGGACTTGGTCTTCTACCAAATAGGGCTATCTTCTGTATACCCCCCCTACCTTGTCACAACACAACTGATTGGCTCAAACGCATTAAGAAGGAAATAAGTCCCACAAATTAACTTTTAAGAAGGCACACCTGTTAATTGAAATGCTTTCCAAGGTGACTACCTCATGAAGCTGGTTGAGAGAATGCCAAGAGTGTGCAAAGCTGTCATCAAGGCAAAGGGTGGCTATTTGAAGAATCTCAAATATAAAACATATTTTGATTTGTTTAACTCTTTTTTGGTTACCACATTATTCCATGTGTTATTTCATAGTTTTGATGTCTTCACTATTATTCTACAATGTAAAAAATTGTAAAAATAAAGAAAAACCCTTGAATGAGTAGGTGTGTCCAAACTTTAGATTATGTGACGTTTTGAATTTTGCATAGAATCAGGTGGTGTGTTCACTAGTGTTAGAAATTGCATAATTCAAATCTGTTATTGGAATAAGAATCAAGAGATCTTCAATCCAAGCTAATTTATTATATGCAAAATGTATGTATGATAAGTATGAAGGTTCGTATATACGGGTCCACTGAAATACCACGCAGGGCACTCAGAGAACTAAACCATTGTTTACAGGTACTTTCTCAAATACTCTGACAGAGAGTTCCCACCTCTTCTGTTGGCCAATCAGAGTAAAGGACTGAGTGTGGTTTAGACTTTACTCAGCCAATCCGTTGGCGCACGGGTTAGTCCCACCCCTCTGCGCTCCACTTGTTGCACACTGTTGCCAGGCATAAGTTTATCATAACAACCTGTGGAGTCAGCACCCAAAAGACACCATTCCACTGTACTACGTTCAAGGACGGTTCACAGACAACAAAGAGGCAGTGTTCGTATCTGTGAGAAATACAAGTCTTATCTGTCCTTCCCCTAACGTTCCACACATGAATCACAGCCTGTTATGTGAAACAATTTATATCAGTATAGTACAAACCTATGCTCCTCATTAATGCATTCCTTCTAAGCTATTCATCACTTCAATCCAATTATTAGAAAACAAATCCCAACACTAGCCAGGCTTGGACAATAGTGAGCAACTGCAGCCCCTAGCACACAGTGTCCTTCGCTCCCGCCTGCCGAACACCTGCCCTTTTCGTCTTTAACAGAACTGCGGGAAAACAGTGCCCGACAGGCAGGGGCGAAGGACACTCTACTGGTGTGTACTAACTATAGCTAGCTACCATTGTTGCCCCCGCCTCTTCTCCTTCTGTGGGGTTTATAGTCGGTTGGGATCCAACGTTATGGTGCATTACCCTCATTAAATCAAATTTCAAACCACCATATTGGAGCTTAAGAATTGACCAATATAAATATTAAGAGGGGTTCCTGCAGGTGCAGGAATGCCCACATTGCAGGAACACCCCGAATTGCGGGCTGCAGTTGCACCCTTCTCACCTTTGGAAAGCTCTCACTGACAGTTTTAACAGGCAGACAAAGTTCCAACATGGCAGCAACGGGGGACGCAGAGGAGACTCAGTTGCAAGAGATGGAGGAAGAGACAGGGATGGAAAATGAAATGGATTTAGATGAAGAGGAGGGTTTGGGAATTGAAAATTCCGACGATGAAATAGACGATTCATCAGAAGACGAAAATGAGAATGAAGCCGAAATTCAGCGTTTGGAGGAGCAGGTACGTTAGCAAATTTAGCTAGCTAAGCTAATTTACTCTAGCTAGCTAGATTTGAGAAATTAATGGAATCCTAGCTAGCAATTTATCTAACGTTTGATGTCAACTAACAACGTTGTCTGTTACATTGAGATTTGAAAGCAATCCTCTACACATCACAAACAGCGAGTTGGCTTGTTTGCAGACTTGCACCGCTAACATTGAAAAGAAAGCTAGCTAGCGAGCTAACGTTAGCTTGCATGCTACTATTAGCCAGCTAGCTTCGTTGGAGTAACGTTGACTAGGTAACGTTAACGTACTAGCAAATGTTGCCTCATTATATAACTAGCTAGCCAGCTAGCATGTTACCTAGCCACAATGATATAATGTTTGCGAATTCAGTAAATATCAAATACGGATTTCTAGGCAGTTAGCTAGCTGGTTACATTGGCGTTAGCTAGTCAGCTAATCAATGCTTTCTGCGAAGTTGATTCCCCAACGACAACGTGCTTGCAGCAGCTGTAAACACGCGCCCTTTTTTCGCGAGCTGCAGCTAGTAAGCTAGCTAGACAGCAACAACATTGAACAGTCAAGCTATTTGGTTGATTGCACAAACAATACTTATTACACAAGTAAAAGTGGTGGAGTCCTGTTTAGCTAGTTACGTTGTATATTTGTTTGCTAACCAAAGACAATCTGTAAATGCACCCCAATGGTTGTTGGTCTGACTGTTCTATACTCTCTCTGTAACTTTCAGCTGTCCATCAATGCTTTTGACTACAACTGTCATGTGGACCTCATAAAACTCCTGAGGCAGGAGGGGGAGCTGCCTCGGCTGCGTAAGGCAAGGCAGAAGATGAGTGAGCTCTTCCCACTCACTGAAGGTTGGTTGGTGTCTGATGGCCTCTGGAGATGCTGCGTTGCATCCGGCTTTATGCATTACAACTTCTATGATTGAGCTGAAGTGCTTCATGCAGTAGACTGGATGACATCTAAGACTCGTTGAAGATAGGTCTGCTGCTCCTTTTGTTGTGATTGATTGTCCTTTTATGGATGATGATGATTTAATCATTTGGAACAAGGTTTACTGTTTCATCACATTCCTGTGGAAAGTTGTGATGGTTTCATTGTTTTGAACATACTGAATGTTATTGTGAACTGTATGCAAAGCTGACTTGTCCTCTCCTGCAGAGATTTGGCTGGACTGGCTCAAGGATGAGATCCGCCTAACAGAGGAGGAGCCGAACCGGGAGAAAGTCTATGAGCTCTTTGAGACGGCTATGAAAGATTATATCTGTGAGTTCTGCCCCCACTCATTGGCTTGTGTTACGATTCTATATGATGTGATGTTATTGTAAACTAAACATTGCAATTATTGTGTGGCCTTCAGGCCCAGAAATCTGGCTGGAATATGCCCAGTACTCTATCGGGGGCATGGGACTGCCTGGTGGGATGGAGAAGGTGAGGTCTATCTTTGAGAGAGCCCTGACAGCTGTGGGGCTGCACATGACCAAGGGGGCGACAGTGTGGGAGGCCTACAGGGAGTTTGAGAACGCCATACTGGTAACTGTTCAGGTGAGCTCCCCTGAAGAATAATGATCTCAAGTAGCTGCAACATGCTACTAATTTCTCTATACCTCCCCATGTCTTTATCTGTATGGGTGTTTTGTAAGGCTCGGAATTGCTTAACGTTATCACGTTACTTAGGTTTCGATACTGTGATTTTATTGCGATTCGATGTTCCAAACATATTGCTCACCGTATGTCTGCTGCAGAGGGACAAGAGAGCCATGAGAAAAATATATATATTTTTTGATCAGTCATGGAAATAAGTGCTGAAAACAAATTGGCTCCCTATTTGAAAAGAAGATGGAGAACAAGCTATGAAGGAAAAATACTGCAGTTTTGGTGCACGTACAGCAAACTAGCGCAAAAATTATTGCGATATTGTCAATATGATATGATGTATTGTCTAAAATTATATGCCGATATGTAACTGTATCGGTTCCCCCCCCCCAATCACTAGTGTTTTGTATAAGATCATCTGCTAAATTAATGATGGTAGATTTTCCTTATCTGAGTATTGGGCAGAAACAAAACAAAAAACACATGATTTGAACTCAATCTGATATTACACAAACCAGTCTCTATGCTGGATTTTGACTCAGTTTTCTCTCCCTGCTTTCTCCTCAGCCTCCCCCTGGCAGCGTTCCCACCTGTGAGCAGCAGGAGCTTCTGAATGCTCAGCTCGAGCGCATCCACACTCTGTTCCGCCGCCAGCTGGCCATCCCCTTAATGGGTAAGGCTCTTCCTGCTCCTCTCTGGAGGGCGTGCTGCAGTGTTTCCTCTGGAAAATGTGTTAGCTGTGGGGCTAAACTTAGCGGGGGTGGGGGGGCCGTTGATGGAGAGCCGCATGCAGGCGGCTAGATGCTCTCCCTGCAGTCTGTTCCTCAAGTCTGTTTTGACCTGAAATAACAGAAAGAAAAATAAGAGAAGGGAGAGGGACAAAGAGGATCTACTTTCACATTTAAATTCCTCTTTCTCATTTCATTGCAGAGAAGTCCCTCTCACAATTAACAGAAGACACTGGTATAGTCAGTGCGATTGCTGCCAGCTGGCTAAGGCAGGGGTAGACTGCCCCCACTCATCAAACTGCGAGGCCAGCTTTGTCATTGCAGTCAGCTGGTCCAACCCCTGAAATACATTAAAAACAAAAAGATGTACAACATTAAAGAATAGCCAACAGGGTGGTAGTTCAACAGGAAAAAGTTATCTTCAAAAGATTGTCACACTCATGCCATACCATGAAAGCTCCAACTAGCACATGTTGCTTGTAAGAGGGCCACTCTTGCAGCACAGCAGCCACTGGTGCTGGCAAGAACTGCCTGGAGAGGAGGGTCAGGTTAAAGGTGTTTATCCTCTCACTAGAGAACGCAGCCTGAGGTCCCAACACACTGAAGGCCTCCAGAATCTCCAGGTGTTGGAACCTCCGGTCTAGGCTGTCCTGGAGGCCAACAAGATATGGATCCATGACCTAATTACAGCACAAAACAGAAAATAAGTGATTAATAGCTGTTTTGTTTTAGTTTATCTAACACACATGATGTAATATTGGTTTCATCACAGCATTTGAAAACAAATGTTTTTACCTGCTCTCTGAACTGAGCCCAGAACTGCTCCCTGGTCTTGGTCTTCTCCAGCTGGCCTCTCCTCCTCCTAGATGTTGAATGCGCCCAGACCCATTGAGTCATCAAGGTCCTGGTGGAGTTGGCTCAGAAATGACCCCGGAGGCTGGGAATCACCAGAATTGGAGAGGAGTGATGCCATTGTCGCAGGGACCTACAACACGAGTTGTTTTGCTTTAAGTTATTATAATGAAGTGTCAGTAGTTCTTAAATATTTCATTGAGTAGTGCTGTCCTGTGACTCTGTTAAACTGAAACATTTGCACACGTTTGAACATGAAGATAGAAAAGAATGTACCTGCTCTTTTATGGCCGGGAAGTTTACATCCTCCTTTTGGAATACTTTTAAAAGCCGCGTAGGTGAGGCAGCACGTCCGCCTGCAGGTAAAGTGCTGCCACAAATCTTAGTTAGAAAAGTTTGTCACTTCACAATGATACATCAATTGACAATACAAAACAGGGTTTAAAAGCCACATTGTGGACCACTCAAATAGAGTTTTGAGACACTGAACGCAGTAATAGCAACATAGTACATTATTTAATTTGGAGTCCACTATAATCTATAATACATGTAGGCCTACCTGTACGTGGCACAGAAAGCGTAGAGGCCCTACGCAGTTGGGCACCGGTTCACCTCCACCTCCTCAGCCAATGCAGCCAACACTGAGCTGAGGTTTCGCTGAAGATTAGCCACGGCCAGGTGCTGGGACAGCCAGCGAACATCCTTTACTTCCTGCAAAATACATTTATTTTGAGTGTAGATGCAGTAGGTAAACAAGATGAGACCAGAGTATCAAAGTGAAGAAATGTGATGCATAATCTCACCTTCACTTTTAAGTACTGAATGCCCAGGGTCGCTGAAGCAGCTTTCAAGACTTCTGTCTTGTTACTGCTTTTGGCAAAGTAACTATGGAGCTGCTGTAGCTGCTCCTTGAAAGTGTCCATATAGGGGACCTCAGCTGATGCATCTTTACAGCAATATTATAGATCTAATTGATGTTAGTAGAGTTTTTAGGTTATAGCTAGCTTATGTAGTTAACTAGTTGGCTAGCTAACGTTAGTCAAACAAGCTAACGTACCTTTGTTGCAATTTCTCACGCAGGTGCACTCTGAAGTGATTCAAGTGAATTGTTTCGGCTGCAGAGGGTCTGCATCGAGCACTGGTCACTGGGCTAAATAACCTTCAGAACTGTGTTGAACCCAGACAGATGATCTATTTACCAAGAAAAGCAAATGTGCTTTACAGAACTTTATTGAAACGATGTTTGGTAGAAATAGGATGTTGCTTTTGGTGTGGCGGCAATGATTCTGCCGTGGCGTAGCACCACACTTAAATGAACACAGAGGAAACACTGGGGTGCTGTATAGAGGGGAGGAGATTTGGTTGGGTGGAATAGCATGTCCTTGAGAGTCCATCGTGGCAGACTTGGGAGGTACCCATCGCAAAGACCTTTTCAGGATAGATGTGGAGAGCCAGTGCAATGTCAGGAGAGTTGCAGAGTGTTGCTTTCTCTTACAATGTGGCTTTTGAAAGACTAAACAGAGGTTTACAGCAAAAGCACTCCTCCTCACCAGGCCCAGTAATGTGGTCCCTGACCAACCTTTCATCCAAATGCAGGACTGGCCAAGAGATAGATGGTCTGGCATTGTCTGCTGCCTTTTTTCTGGTCCGGCTGAATGGCCACCGGAGGCATTTCTGGAACGGCTAATCCCGTCTCTCTCTTCTATGACCTGTGCCAACGCTCAGTGTATAATCCCTCCTTATCTACGGCCTGTCAGTCAGTGTTTTGTACCCCCACAAGATGATGGCAAAAAGAAAACCGGTTAAGCATTTACATGGCTGTGTGTTATTGGTCAAATGAGGACGAACTCAACATTTCAAAAGCCAATATCCCAGTAAATGAGTGTCATGGCTTTCATTAATCTGATGACTGTTTTATCGAATCAACTAACTATAGTTTAATAGTCACTCGATTTAAATTAATAATGTAACAATTAACTCATTAGGATTTTGGGGCACCACGGAAGAAGTTGTTTAACGAGTTACCATTTCCCTAATTAAACTCTTAGAAGATATATCGATAAGTCACAAATCTAATCATTACCTCATATCCGTCTCATTCTGAACGTCGCATAATCCTTGAACCTGCAAGAACCCTAACCTTATTGATGAATCAGCAATACACAAATTGGCTTAATTGTTTATTTACTAACTAAATAATAACACAGACTACATAAACACACACACTGTATATGTTATTGATTACTAACGTAATACAATGAAAACAAGTCCCTAGTAGACTAACAGCATGACTGCTGGGTTAGGGGAAGGAGGGGTCAATAGAAAGAGAGTGAAAGGGAGAGACAGAGATTCAACTTATCGTTGTTACGTTTGGAAACCACCGCTCATTCGGATAAGAAATGCAATGCATATTTACGCGTAGCTGTCCTTGATTGTCATTTCTCTGTTGAACCACTTTCTCAAAAAGGGTTTGAGTGTCCTATCCCACTTCGGTGCGACTCGGCTTGTCTTCGAATGGAGTGTTCGTTAGAATAGATACTTCAGATGTACCAACGGTTGTCTCGTGTCTTTAGTGAAAGTTCTAGACTACTTTACATGCCAGCTGCAGACTGGTAATGCTACGGTCTAGTGAGTTTCTTCTTCTTGTGTAGAGATTGAGAGTTTCAGAGTTTCTCACCAATTCAACAATTCTCTCATTAGAAGGCTAAAATCACATTGCTATCTTAACCAAAATACTCTCATACTTAATCATATATTTTATACAACATTTAGATGTAAACTTGACAAGTAGAATATGTACACTTTCTGAGTTATAGTTATTTCTTGATACCATCCTTAATGACAATCACAAAATAAACAATATGACATGATTATTCTTTAGATCCCCACTGACCATTCCAAACATTTGGATGTCAGAAATAATCCAATGTCCAAGCTTTTGACGTTAGTTTTTAGGCGGGCCACACTCTCTTGACAAAGGCATTCCTTTGGTGGATAATGTCTCCTGAGTGGCGCAGTGGTCTAAGGCACTGCATCGCAGTGCTAACTGTGCCACTAGAGATCCTGGTTCGAAATCCAGGCTCTGTCGCAGCCGGCCGCGACCGGGAGACTCATGGGCGGCGCACAATTGGCCCAGCGTCGTCCAGGGTAGGGGAGGGAATTGCCGGCAGGGATGTAGCTCAGTTGATAGAGCATGGCGTTTGCAACGCCAGGGTTTTGGGTTCGATTCCCACGGGGGGCCAGTATAAAAAAAAAAAAATGTATTCACTAACTAAGTCGCTCTGGATAAGATGACTAAAATGTAAATGTATGAAAGGCAGAGAGAGAAAGTTTCTCTCCTGCTTAAATTTACGACCCAGTGTTAAGGTGTCAAGACGCCCCCCTTCCTCTCTTCTGTGGGTGAGAGGGGGTCTGGCTATCTTCAAACATTTGCCTAGCTGATGGGTCCTTTGATCCACTGTCAGGAGAGTCATGAGATTAGAAACTTTTGGTGTGTCTCCCTTCAAGTAATTGTAATAAACGCACAGGATCCTTTTTATATAATCACCTACATTCTAATCCACACTTAGAATGTGTCTGGCTGTGGTATGCATATTCAGGGTTGAGTGTGAAAGGTTTCTCCTAATGATAACTGTGATCTTTTGCAGACATGGACGGAACATATGCAGAGTATGAGGAGTGGTCTGACCAGGGGGTGTCTGATACAGTCTCCCAGAAGTATAAGAGAGCCCTGCAACAGATGGAGAAGAGCAAGCCTTATGAGGAGACTCTGGTACTTACCTAGATTGTATTCTAGTCTGGACATTTATACCATACTGTTTGTTTTGGAAGGATTTAATGGATTTTAAGCATTCAATTCGATTGCACTGCCTAGAAAGTAGCAGTAGATTAGTAGTAAAGTTATGTATAATTTAAAGTATTATGTGCTTAAGCAAATGTCTTGCTTTTTTCTATGTGTACCTCTGAAATCTCTGTGTGACTCTGTATGTGTGAGTCTGTATTCTAGACATGGTCATCTGCTCAATGCCTTTCATATGCCAACGTTTGTGTTGCAGATGATAGCCGAGCCGCCCAAGCTGGCAGAGTATCAGACCTACATTGACTATGAGCAAAAGGAGGGTGACCCAGCACGGATCCAGATCATCTTTGAGCGGGCACTGGCAGAAAACTGCCTGGTACCAGACATGTGGGCAAAGTACACCAAATACCTGGTGAGCCTCATTTTAATTACTCACAGCCAGCCGTCTCCCTCTCTCCAGCAGCTCCTGAAATGTATCATGGGCCTTTTTAATATCTTTAATGGGATGGTAATGAGATGCTGAGATCGCAAACACAGACATCGAGTAATTCATCAGAGCCTGGGTGTTTCACTAGTTTGATGAAAAAAACTACTTTTAATCATATGGTTCCTAACCTGTAATCCAGTAGGCTCTCTTTCAGAATCCCAGTTTTGGCCCTTGCTGTGTCTCACATAGGAACCCAGGCTCAGCAGCTATAGCATTTAAGGAAATAAAGAAGGTCATCAAGGTAGCTATATGCTATGGAAGTGCTGTGATTTAAATCTAGTCGTCTCCTGCATATACTCAGGGAAGTGATTACATTGGAAGTGTGATTTAACTGAATGATATGCTTCCACACATTAATCAAATTATGACACTGCCTAATGGAGTTTGGCAGTATATTATTCCTTGTGCAGCATTGTGAAAACATCTACACCAGCAACATATCTACAGAGGTGTGGAATATCAGTAGCTGCCGTAGTGAAACATTTCTGCTATCTCATGGTTGCACCTAACACTTTTTTTTTGTCATTAATATCACCCAGGTAGAAATGATAGATTTGCTGTCTTTGAATTCCTTGTAAATAGTGTTGCACGCTGTACCGAAACTTGGGTACTTTTTCGATACTATAACATGAAAAAACATTTCGGTACTAGAATTTGTTACTTTCGATTCTTCTATCAAATGTGTCTCACTTCCTATACTGACTGAGAGGATGAAGTCTGTAGTAATTTGCCAACCGGGCCAGTAACTTTCAGCGCATTTGGCGTTCCAGTTTGACTTTTACACGCCCTGTAAAAGTCCAATAGAAAACTGCTGGTGCACCGCATTGTTGCGATTACACACGGAAAACTTGTGCTATATTTGAGCAATATGATTGGCCGTTCATTCAAGCACCACCACGCTTGACGCGAGTCACAATTTTTTGAGCAGTACATGGGTGAGTCGATCAATCAATCATTCAATACCCCCCCCCCCCCCCCCCCCCCCCCCAAAAAAAAATAAAACGAACTCACATGTCCTTTGTGAACTAAGACTCACACTTTACTTTTGTCCCCCTACTAGCACTGACTTTGCTGATGGCTACTTTATTTATGAACATTTTACTTAATATGACTGAGATGTGGTTGGCTCACCTAGCTATCTTAAGATGAGTGCACTAACTGTAAATCGCTCTGGATAAGATCGTCGGACTAAATTGTAAATGTAAAATATAATGCACGTGGGCTGTCCAGACTAGCAAAAAAAATAAACACATAAATCTACTCGCTGACCTTATTTTGAGGGAAAGTGATTTACAAAAGTGAACTTTCAATAGTGAATATAGTTGAAAATTAGCAATAAGCTACTGTTGATAGTATACAAAAAGACAGCTCTACAAAAATATACCTACCATTCGTCTTGGCTACTGCAGCCTCTCTTTTGAGAAGCAGTTAAGAATTTAGTCAACAAATGTATCAATTTCTATTATATGTAAATAGTTTAGGATCAGTGAATGCCATAATGTAGTTATTAGATACTTCTCCCTATTAGCTGTAATCATATTTTTTCAAAGCCATTTTTGCTGCCGTGCTAGCTGTTTTGGGCCGAACAGATTCACAAATCATGGGGATTTGTCGCGCAATGCAGATGTTGACTCCCTCTGAGACACGTGTTGCTAGGCAACCCCCCTTTACTTGCTGGGACAGGCTTGTTCCCTCCGTGCCTAATGCCAGTGTGAGAAACTTGCTATCAATTGTTTGTGCTATGAATATGAAACAAAATAAATACTGCACTCTGACCCACAACTACTTTGCTAGATTGATGATAGTGTTAGACAAAGCAAGGAAAGTGAACTTCAAAAATGTGCTGTAGTTTTCTTGGAATTTGCAGCTGTTGTTGGTAAGTAATGAGTCTGAGTATTGGGATATATATATATATATATATATATATATATATAAATAAATAAATAAATAAATAAACTCAGCAAAAAATAAATGTCCTCTCACTGTCAACTGCATTTATTTTCACCCTCCGATCCAACAGTTCCCAGACGTGCTCAATGGGATTGAAATCCGGACTCTTCGCTGGCCACGGCAGACCACTGACATTCCTGTCTTGCAGGAAATCACGCACAAAATGAGCAGTATGGCTGGTGGCATTGTCATGCTGGAGGGTCATGTCAGGATGAGCCTGCAGGAAGGGTACCACATGATGGAGGAGGATGTCTTCCCTGTAACGCACAGCGTTGAGATTGCCTGCAATGACAACAAGCTCAGTCCGATGATGCTGTGACACACCGCCCCAGACCATGACAGACCCTCCACCTGCAAATCGATCCTGCTCCAGAGTACAGGCCTCGGTGTAATGCTCATTCCTTCGACGATAAACGCGAATCCGACCATCACCCCTGGTGAGACAAAACCACGACTCGTCAGTGAAGAGCACTTTTTGCCAGTCCTGTCTGGTCCAGCGACGGTGGGTTTGTGCCCATAGGCGACGTTGTTGCTGGTGATGTCTGGTGAGGACCTGCCTTACAACAGGCCTACAAGCCCTCAGTCCAGCCTCTCTCAGCCTATTGCAGACAGTCTGAGCACTGATGGAGGGATTGTGCGTTCCTGGTGTAACTCGGGCAGTTGTTGTTGCCATCCTGTACCTGTCCCACAGGTGTGATGTTCGGATGTACCGATCCTGTGCAGGTGTTGTTACACGTGGTCTGCCACTGCGAGGACGATCAGCTGTCCGTCCTGTCTCCCTGTAGCGCTGTCTTAGGCATCTCACAGTATGGACATTGCAATTTATTGCCCTGGCCACATCTGCAGTCCTCATGCCTCCTTGCAGCATGCCTAAGGCACGTTCACGCAGATGAGCAGGGACCCTGGGCATCTTTCTTTTGGTGTTTTTCAGAGTCAGTAGAAAGGTCTCTTTAGTGTCCTAAGTTTTCATAACTGTGACCGTAACAGCTTACAGACGGTAGGCAATTAGTGTCTTAACAACCGTTCCACAGGTGTGTGTTCATTAATTGTTTATGGTTCATTGAACAAGCATGGGAAACAGTGTTTAAACCCTTTACAATGAAGATCTGTGAAGTTATTTGGATTCTTACGAATTATCTTTGAAAGACAGGGTCCTGAAAAAGGGACATTTCTTTTTTTGCTGAGATATATATATATATACACACACACACACACACACACAGTACCAGTCAAAAGTTTGGACACACCTACTCATTCAAGGTTTTCTGTATTTTTACTATTTTGTACATTTGTACAAAACTATGAAATAACACATATGGAATCACGTAGTAGCCAAAAAAGTGTTAAACAAGTCAAAATATATTTTATATTCTTCAAAGTAGCCACCCTTTGCCTTGATGACAGCTTTTGCACACTATTGGCATTCTCTCAACCAGATTCATGAGGAATGCTTTTCCAACAGTCTTGAAGAAGTTCCCACATATGCTGAGCACTTGTTGGCTGCTTTTCCTTCACTCTGCGGTCCAACTCATCCCAAACCATCTCAATTGGGTTGAGGTCGGGTGATTGTGGAGGCCAGGTCATCTGATGCAGCACTCCATCACTCTCCTTCTTGGTCAAATAGCCCTTACACAGCCTGGAGGTGTGTTTTGGGTTATTGTCCTGTTGAAAAACAAATGATAGTCCCACTAAGCGCAAACCAGATGGGATGGCGTATCGCTGCAGAATGCTGTGGTAGCCATGCTGGTTAAGTGTGCCTTGAATTCTAAATCACAGACAGTCACTAGCAAAGCACCCCCACACCATCACACCACCTGCTCCATGCTTCAAGGTGGGAACCACACATGCGGAGATCATCCGTTCACCTACTCTGCGTCTCACAAAGACACGGCTGTTGGAACCAAAAATCTCAAATTTGGACTCATCAGACCAAAGGACAGATTTCCAACGGTCTAATGTCCATTGCTCGTGTTTCTTGGCCCAAGCAAGTCTCTTCTTATTATTGGTGTCCTTTAGTAGTGGTTTCTTCGCAGCAATTCCACCATGAAGGCCTGATTCATGCAGTCTCCTCTGAACAGTTGATGTTGAGATGTGTCTGTTACTTGAACTCTGTGAAGCATTTATTTGGGCTGCAATATGAGGTGCAGTTAACTCTAATAAACGTATCCTCTGCAGCAGAGGTAACTCTGGGTCTTCCTTTCCTGTGGCGGTCCTCATGAGAGCCAGTTTTATCATAGCGCTTGATGGTTTTTGCGACTGCACTTGAAGAAACTTTCAAAGTTTTGGGTCATTGTCCTGTTGAAAAACAAATGATAGTCTCACTAAGGACAAACCAGATGGGATGGCATATCGCTGCAGAATGCTGTGGTAGCCATGCTGGTTAAGTGTGCCTTGAATTCTAAATAAATTACTGACAGTGTCACCAGCAAAGCATCCCCACACCATCACACCTCCTCCTCCATGGTTCAATTTTCTGTATTGACTGACCTTCATGTCTTAAAGTAATGATGGACTGTCGTTTCTCTTTGCTTATTTGAGCTGTTCTTGCCATAATATGGACTTGGTCTTTTACCAAATAGGGCTATCTTCTGTATACCACCCCTACCTTGTCACAACACAACCGAATGGCTCAAACGCATTAAGAAGGAAAGAAATTCCACAAATTAACTTTTAACAAGGCACACCTGTTAATTGAAATGCATTGCAGGTGACTACCTCATGAAGCTGGTTGAGAGAATGCCAAGAGTGTGCAAAGCCTACTTTGAAGAATCTCAAATTATAAAATATATTTTGATTTGTTTAACACTTATTTGGTTACTACATGATTCCATATGTGTTATTTCATAGTTTTGATGTGTTCACTATTATTCTACAATGTAGAAAATAGTAAAAAATTAAGAAAAACCCTTGAATGAGTAGTTGTGTCCAAACTTTTGACTGGTACTGTATATATTTTATTTGTATTATCGATACTTGGAGTCATAGAATCGATATATTGTCAAAAACATTATGCGGATACTCTACTGTATCGAATCCCCTCCCATCACTACTAATATCCACATCTCATTATTGGTTTCTCTTATTTTATCTTCAGAAGTCAATTGCCACCACCCCATCAGCTACAGTGAGTCAGCCTACCATTACATCTGTGCTAGAACTTGACACAAAGTACGACAACTCAAAAGATGCCCAAAGGTTATTCTGTGACTTTTGCTAATATCCATTCTTTTTTTGCGATGGTATTGTTTTGGTTTTGAGTATCGTGATACTAAACCTGTTATCGGTATCGAAGTATTCTGGTGTCGTGACAACACTACTTGTAAATGTGGGTTGTGATAGTTTGTTGGATTGTTTTATTAACTAGTCTTTTGTTGTTGCCTCAGGACCGCCAACTGAAGATCAAAGACCTGGTCCTGTCCTCTCACGACCGTGCGGTCAGGAACTGCCCCTGGACCATGGGCCTGTGGAAGAACTACCTGCTGGCCCTGGAGAGGCATGGGGCTGACCACCACACTATCTCAGGTAACCACTGGGTTATTGGGGCAGCACTGATATCTGTCATGCATGTAGTGGATGTAAACAGAGATTTCAAGACATTAATTAAATGTATATTTCAATGAAAATGGGTGAACTTGGATGCAGGGGTTGTTTTGCCCATATCATTCATGGGTACTAAGACTGTGGAATCCTTGGAATTATGAAGATCATCTCGTTTTCCCTCCACAGATGTTTTTGAAAAGGCCCTGAATGCTGGTTTCATACAAGCCACAGATTACGTGAATATCTGGGAAGCGTACCTCGATTACCTGAGGAGGCGCGTCGATTTCAGCAAAGGTGAAAGCACCTTAACATTGGGTAATGCAAAGTAACATAAGTAATAAGATCTTATTTGTGGTGTGGGGAAAGTCAAATGTATACATGAAAGAAGTCCTCTATTGATAATGGCGTTATGTGTTTCCAGAGTCAAGCAGAGAGCTGGAGGAGCTGCGGGCAGCCTTCACCCGGTCTCTGGACTATATGAAACAGGATGTGGAAGAGAGTAAGTGGACCTGCAGCCTGTGTACTGTTAATCTCAGTCTTTGTGTGTTTGTGTTGGAGACTCACCAATGTGTCTTGCTCCTTTTAAGGGTTTAGTGAAAGTGGAGACCCCTCCTGTACTATCATGCAGGTCTGGGCGAAGATCGAGGTAAGGGTGAAGATTATGACAAACTTGTCTTGTGTTCACTTGCTTCTATCAGTGCAGATACAAGTCAGTGCAAAAACAGCATCTATACAAATTTAAAATGTGATTTTTATAACACCTTCTCTTTCCTCTCTGACCAGGCCCTGCATTGTAAGAACATGCAGAAGGCCAGAGAACTGTGGGACAGCATCATGACAAAAGGGAATGCCAAATTCGCCAACATGTGGTTGGAGTACTATAACCTGGAGAGGTCAGTGAAGTCACTCTTTAGTGGTCACCTATAAACTGTTGATTTAAAGGTTAGAGATATTGATTTATCAGTGACAAATCTGATGCTGATTTTGTGTGTTATGTTTTCTGATGGGCTGACTCTTTGTAGGTCGTACGGAGACGCTCTCCACTGCAGGAAAGCACTCCACAGGGCCGTCCAGTGTACCTCCGACTACCCAGAGCATGTGTGCGAGGTCCTGCTCAACTTTGAGAGGGTCGAGGGTAAGTCAACGTGATGGAAATGTCATGAATGAGGGGATTCGATTAAGTCTGGGTTGCACTGGGCTATGGCCCGTCACGTGACCGCAAAGCCGGTGAGGGAGGTGCGAATTTGCCGTAATTTGTGCCTCTTGGTTATGTTGTCAACAAGGCAGCATGATGCGTTGTTCAGAAACAGATCTATTTTCCATAAAATATGTTAGAATTTTCAAACTAGTTTTCATTGGAAAGGCAGAAAGCGTGTTTATCAAAACAATCACTTTAGCATGTGAAAACACAGAATCCTACTCATTACTCCACGTGCTTAACTTGTGTCACTTTTGTTTTGAGCCGACTTCGCTGTCGGACATAGCGGGGCACCCTGGTCAGGCCCGGGAGGCAGCCTGGTTCCAAAATGAATGCAATCACTTTTCACTGGTGCAAACTCCGACCAACTGGGCACCCGGGCCAGCTTAATCGAATCCCCTCAATAAGTGGACAGGTATCTGGAGTGTCAGTTGATGGGATGGATTGGCTGATTTGTTGAAAACATAACACTGTATTGGTAAATCTTAGTCTGAGAGTAAGGTGAGTGTTTCATTGCAGTTTGTTCTGTGTCACCTCCAGGTTCTCTGGAGGACTGGGATGCAGCGGTGCAGAAGACTGAGACACGGCTGAACAGAGTCAACGAGCAGAGGGCCAAGGTAGGACACACCCGAGTCAATACTTTGTAGAAGCACCTTTGGCAGCGATTACAGCTGTGAGTCTTTGGGTAAGTCTCTTAAGAGCTTTCCGCACCTTGATTGATTGTGCAACATTTGCCCATTATTCTTTTCAAAATTCTTTAAGCTCTGTCAAATTGGTTGTTGATAATTGCTAGACAACCATTTTCAGGTCTTGCCATAGATTTTCAAGTAGATTGAAGTCGAAACTAACTTGGCCACATTCACTGTCTTCTTGGTAAGCAACACCAGTGTAGATTTGGCCTTGTGTTTTAGGTTATTGACCTGCTGAAAGGTGAATTCATCTCCCAGTGTAAAGGTGGAAAGCAGACTGAACCAGGTTTTCCTCTAGGATTTTGCCTGTGCATAACTTCATTCCGTTTGTTTTTTATCCTGAAAACTCCCCAGTCCTTAACGATTACAAGCATACCCATAACATGATGCAGCCACCACTATACTTGAAAATATGGAGAGTGGCACTCAGTAATGTGTTGTATTGGATTTGCCCCAAACATAACACTTTGTATTCAGGACAAAAAGTTAATTGCGTTGCCACTTTTTTTGTGCCTTGTTGCAAACAGGATGTTTTATTATGTACAGGCATCCTTTTCACTCTGTCAATTAAGTTAGTATTGTGGAGTAGCTGCAATGGTGTTGATCCATCCTCAGTTTCTTTTCTACTATCACAGCCGTTAAACTCTGTAACTGTTTTAAAGTAACCATTGGCCTCAGTGAAATCCCTCAGCAGTTTCCTTCCTCTCCGGCAACTGAGTTAGGAAGGACGCCTGTATCTTCGTAGTGACTGGGTGTATTGATACACCATCCAAAGTGTAATTAATGACTTCACCATGCTCAAAGGGATATTCAATGTCTGCTTTAATTTATTTTTTTACCCATCTACCAATAGGTGCCCTTCTTTGTGAGGTATTGGAAAACCTCCCTGGTCTTTGTGGTTGAATCTGTGTTTAAAATTCACTGCTCGACTGAAGGACCTTATCGATAATTAATTATATGTGCGGGGTACAGAGATAAGGTAGTCATTCAGAAATCATGTTAAACACTATTATTGCACTCAGTGATTCCATGCAACTTAATGTGACTTGTTAAGCACATTTTTACTCCTGAACTGATTTAGGCTTGCCGTATGAGGTTGAATACTTAACTCTTTTCCGTTTTTCATTTTTTATATTTGTAAACATTTCGAAAAGCATAATTTCACTTTGACATTATGGGGCATTGTGTGTAGGCCAGTGACGACATCTCAATTTAATCCATTTTAAATTCAGGCTGTAACACAAATGTGGAAAAAGTAATGGTGTGTGAATACTTTCTGAAGGCACTGTAGTAGGAAGTTGATAATACTGGGCAGCAGAGGAAGGATGAGTTGGGTTGTAGGGGGAAATGTAGTATTATCTATTTCTACATTGGCGAGCAACAGATTTTAATGACAGAATTGAAAGGAAAACAAAAGTTTTGCTTGTGCAGCTGTTTCTTTGCTGTCAGGTTCATAACGTCATCCTTGTCCCTCTCAGGTGACAGAGAAAGAAGCCCATCTGGCACTACATGAGGAGGAGAAGACTGAACAGCGGCGGAGGGCCAAGGCAGACAAGAAGAACCAGAAGAAGGGCCAGAAAGGCAGCAGGCCTGGGGAGAAGAGGAAGGCAGAGGACAAGGATTACGAGGATGAGTGGGGGGAGGAATCGGGTAAGGAGAGGCATGAAGATCATACATTTATTTAACATAGGAATATTATTGCTTGGTGTCCGCTTATGCTAATAAAGTGGCATGTATAGAAGTCATCCTGTGTGTTTGCTAAAGCTTTGTCACCTCTCTCTGCGACAGAGCAACCTCCAAAGAGGCACAGAGGGGAGGGCGACCAAGGCTTCAGGGAGGGAGGCGGCGGTACTGAGGTGTTCATGGAGACAGAGAGTGGACTGTTTGGGAGGAGAGCTCCCCCTGGCCGCAGACAGGAACGCCCTGGTGCTAAGAGGGGCCAGCAGGTGGCACCAGCCACCATATGGAAGACCCAGGAAGATGACCCCGAGCAACGCAAAGACGACTGCAGTGTGTTTATCAGTAACCTGGCCTTCACCATGGAGGATCCAGAGAAGAGGCTGAAGGAGTTGTTTGAGCCCTGCGGTCCTGTCCAGTCAGTGCGCCCCGTCTATGCTGCCAAGGGCTTCAGAGGGTACTGCTACGTACAGTTTGAGGGCAAGGCGTCCGTGCTCGAGGCCCTGAAGATGGACCGGCAAGAGGTGGACGGCAGGCCCATGTTCGTATCACCCTGTGTGGATAAAAACAAGAACCCTGATTTTAAGGTAAGAGACCCGCGTGTTAGTTTGTATTTAGGGTTGGATGAATGGAATGGTGGTTTACCAAGCGGCTACTGAGTAACTTTTAATTAAATCTTCCTTTAGGTGTTTAAGTACAACACAAACCTGGAGAAACACAAGATATTTATCTCGGGCCTGCCCTTTTCCTGCACCAAGGAGCAGCTAGAGGAGCTGTGCAAGGATCATGGCACCATTAAAGACATCCGCCTGGTCACCAACCGCTCAGGCAAACCCAAGGTGAGGCATAATGCTGGGAGGTAGGGTTATGCGTTTCTCTATCCAGATGTTAGGTTAAGAATAGTAATTTGCTCTTGAGTCTTATATTTGTTGTAATGTGAATGAAATGTCCATCTTTGTAAACATCCAAACTAGGGGTGTGAACATTTAATTAATTAGGATCCTTAACATTAAGAACATTTTTTCTTTTTTTTTCTTTATGTAGATGCAGAAAGTAAACAGCATAGTAGGTCAATTTCCACAACAACTGAGAGCGTTGAAGCGCAAGGCTCAACTTCTCAGCTGTTTTGGTGCATTGGCTACCACCCGGTGAACAGCGTGACGTGAACCTGTGCACATGCGCAGATACTGTGTGTGACTGCGTGAGAGCAAAATGTTGCATCTCGCTCATCTCAATATTCTAACATATTCATTGATGATATGCCCTGCTTTACTGAAGTTGTGAGACATTGCAAGCCAAGAAATTGTGAGATGCAGCATTCCATTGCGAGATACAGCTTTTGATAGCTGATAGATAGGCCTAGTGCACAGTTTTGACTCTGTCTGCCTGGTGCCCCTCCCCTCTCTCTCCGTCCCTCGCTATGAAAGATGCAAGTGTTTGTATTCTTGGAAGTACGGCAACAAATCGGTCTCCTCCGTTCCAAAAATACTGAATCTTAGGAGTTGATTTCTAGCGGAATCTAATCTTGACACTCAGAAATGGGAGTTGACGTGTAAGGAGTCAATTATTTTGGAGTTGACTCTCCACCACTACGTCATCGTTGTTAAGTTGGATAAATGGCAGAGAAAGGCAAGCGACAGCAGCAAAGTTTTGTATGGCAATACTTTGAGAAATTAAATGAAAATAAAATACAGGTACAGGTGCAATGCTTAACCATCTGAAAGGGACGCACCGTGAGACACAAACCATTGCATGGCGGCAGCACAGCTGCATTGTGAATTTACGTGGAATTTTATGAATGGTTATCGTTTTAATGGAAAACGATTAAGAAATAAATAATAATAATAATTAAACTTTTAAGAAATATTGTCTATTTGTCACATCCCTAATCCAAACAGATCATTTGAATCACAAATGTAAAAGCTCCATTGACACATTTGGTAATTAGATTTGCTGGTCTAATGGCTGCTGTGTGGTGTCTGCAGGGTCTGGCGTACGTGGAGTTTGGGGATGAGGCTCTGGCCTCCCAGGCCGTGCTGAAGTTGGATGGCACAGTACTACAGGAACACACACTCTCTGTTGCCATTAGCAACCCGCCTCGCAGAAACACTGCCGACAAGCCTGGCTTCAGCAGACCCATGGGAGCCATGATGCCCCGGTCTATGGTCTATGGATCGTAAGTTGCCCAACGATTGAGCAATAATGTATTCTTCACACACTGGCACCTAAAACAATTAATAGTCAAAGATGTTGCCCTTAAGATGGTACTCATTCCTATCAGTCCATTTAGCCATGTTTTGAATAAGCTATACTCACCCACTAAAGAGATGTATAATATAGATGTGAACCAGTAAAACTTGAATTTGAGAAGTCTGATTCCTTTGGTTTTGTTTTTCAGAAGGGGTAAAGGGCGCACCCAGCTCTCACTACTCCCTCGTTCACTACATCGGCAGACTGGATCAGAAAGTAAAGCAGAGAATGGGACTGCACCTAAACCCACAGGGGGCACATCTGGAGACGCTGGATTTGAAGCACAAGCCAAGCCCTTGTCTAATTCAGACTTTGCCAAAATGCTTTTCAAAAAGTGAAAACAATAAAAAGAACTGCCTTTGTATGGAAAGCCATCTTGTGTCCTGGAGGAGAAGAGATGGCAGATATTGTGCTGTAATTTGACTCCCCTTTAATCCACACCAATGGCCCCCATCCTCCTTGTCACTTTCTGTAAGAAAATCTCCCTGGCTCAACTGGCCCCAGACCCCATATTACCACATCATTTTGAACAATAATTGATTGATATTCCTTTTGAACTAGTGTGAGAGAATGCCTATTTTAATTACCAATTTCAGTTTGTTTTTATTTGGAAAGGTGTTTTATAAAGACATGTATCATATACATATATGTGTGTGTGTAAATGTAAATAATACCTTATCGCTCGGTGTGTTCTTTTGTTTTGGATAGGGATATATAGATTTTTTTTTTTACAGCCCAGCTTGTGAATCGTGTTTCTTGTTGTTTTAAAAGGTATATGTGAGAGCTTGACATTGAGATATATGTATGACAACAATGAAATATATTTTTCCGGTATGTAAAGGCAACTTAAGGTGTCAACATACCACTCATCTTTTGTTTGCCCTACAGGGCAGCTAACATGCAACGATATTTGTTCCCATGCAGTGATTGACTAATGCTTCGCTTTACAGAATATTACCTAAAACTGCAGTTGTACAAATAATTTATTTGCAGATGTACTGCCCAGAACTCATTCCTCACCTGTTCTGTGCTCACATTTAGACTGTAGTTTTAAGTCTTTGTCCATAAAAACTAAAAAAAATACATGATCCTTTATATTGTTATTAATCCCTTACTGAGACTTCTTATTGATGACACTGTAATTTAAGGTTGTCTGTGACTGCATGTCATTTTTTTTTTGCCTATCATGTTTAGGCTGTCTTACCTGAAAGGATCGAAGGGATTGTTGTTGTTTACTGTCATATTTTCCCAATTTACTTCCAGGTAACCTTTTGACTGGATTGCTCATTCCTGGCTAAGGTATTGAATAAGCTATCTGTGTAAGCAATGAGGTGGGTGGGGAATGAAGAACTGAGTTTGGAGAAGCACTAAAGGGCCTTGGCTTTTGTCATCTCAGAATTCTAACCAGTCCTGTCCACAAGTGAATCAACCATTTTTGGGAGAAAGAAAATCTATGCAGCCCTCAATGTCCACAATATAAGTTCAATAAATTATGACATCATGGGGAATGTAAAGGTTTGAACTAAATTCCTAAAAGTCTCCTTTGCCTTTCAAATTAATGTCGTCATTAAGAATTCAGTTTCGACCAGTAATCCTGTTTGGATGAGTGGGGAACGTCAAATGTGTTTTCAGTATTCACACACCCAGAGTGATTGGCCATAGTTTTGTATGTTTGAGAATTATGAGTTATCTATCAACGTTCTATCACCACAGTGGCCTAATCTAGTTAGAGACTACAAATGTTTGAGCTTTAGAAGTTGCGTTCTGTTTGTCCAATATATGGTGTATGCACATTGTGTGATAACTTTAAAATCATGTCATGGTGTTTTAATTTTTATATTACGAGAACGCAGATGTAAACTAGAAATAGCTTTTTTTCTTTACAAAATGGTCAATGCAACCCTCTGAGGAGATTGAACTTGGTCTACTTTTGTTCAGTGATTCATTTACTGCTTGTTCCAAGTTTTACACTTGTCATTTGGGTGTTGTAAAAATGTAATCTTGTGGTTTTGTTGCCATTTCTGGCCTAAATTTTATTAAAGCAATTCAAATAGATGTTGAGTTTTGAAACTAAGGAAATCACATTCAACAGGTTGTTTATTTTGTGAAAATAAATACTCAACTACATGAAAGTGCTTCAGTGAAATACCAGACAGTATGACCCAGTTGGATGAGCTACTGTACAGTACATTGATACAAACCATGTTTTATCTCAAAGGAATAATGACCAGCCCACCTATCGCCTTACCGCAGAACATTGTTTTCTGTTCATTTCACAAAGATTTTACATGTTGAATCATCACCGTTCGTCGACACCCAGCAAGTGATCTACTGTGCACTGTCTTTCTTGTCCATAAGGGGGACAAATCAAAGCCGAATCGCATAACTCAATCTTATCAGACATGTACACATACTGTAGTACCCATTCGTAACACCTTCAGTTAATGTAATGCATTCACTCATCTCAGTCATCAAAATAATAACTGATAATAGATAAGATGGAATGCAAATTCAGAGTTATAGGCCTAAATGTCCTTTAGAATCGGCACTAAAAACAATGAGTAGCATTGCCAAGAGTATGAAACAGGTCCATGTGTCTGCGCCAACAAATTCATGACCCTTACGTTTAGTCAATATTAGAAACATTTTACCCTTATCCCTTTACGGACAATAATCTGCAGCTGAAAACGTGTGTTCTATTCACAACACATACTTTTTAAAAAAATATATATTTTTTTAACCCCCTTTACTCCCCAATTTCATCATTAGTTCAAACACCTGCACCTCAAACTACCTGGTATGAGGAAACAAACCATGATATGGGAATATTCATTTCTGTAAAAGATGCATTCTCCCTGTAAAATGTGCAAGGTCATGCTATCATTGACACAGGGCTGCTATTAGTTTATCCATAAATCAATTGACATATCTTTACACTTAGAGCAGGATTAACCCCAAATTAGCAAATCTAAATAAAGAGAAATACAAAGCCAAACACAGTCATGCACCCTCCCTCGCCGTCCCCTCTCACTGTTGTGGACAAGGATGGTTTGTTTGCAATCGTGGCAGGCCTGGTGGTGGCTGGAGCCAGGCAGCCCCACAGTGTGCTCAGTGGTGGCGATCAGCAGGGTATCCAGAGAGTGATCTCTGTGCATTTGGCGATGAAGGAGAGGACGTCACCATCGTTGGCTGTGTCCAGAGCAGTGTAGTACTCTGAACTTTGCGGACGGTGATCGGTGGGTAGCGTGCCTGCATAAGCACCAGGTTCATTAGCGGCCGTGACGTGCGCCCGTTCCCGTCCACAAAGAGGTGCACGTACACCAGCTTATAATGGGTGAGCGCTGCGTACTCCGCAGGGTGCAGCTGCAGGGCCTCCTCTGAGTTGAGCCACTGCACCAGCATGTGGCGCTCCAGGTCCTGGGGGTGGGGTGGGATGTGGTGGCCTACAAACACCTGGCTGGTACGCAGCCGCCCACCCTCTACAGGATCTGCATAGCCCAGCACGCGCCGGTGGATCTCCAGAATGTCATTGACAGTGATGGCCCCAGCGCGGGACAGCAGCGTGGTGTTGATGTACTTCATGACTGCGTCCACACCAATGGCCTCGTTCTGCTCCTGGAGGCTCTTGCCGGGTACGGCGTAGCGAGTCTCAATGATGTGGCGGATCTCAGACAGAGTGAGTGTGTTACCCTCTATAGCCACTGTGTGGTAGATGTGGTAGTAGTAGGTTTCCTCCATGACACGTCTAAGGACAGAGTTTCCCTTGGGGATGGATATCATCCTGCATACTTTACTGTCGATAACCCCAAAGTGGCGTTGGTCGATCTCCTCCACCAGGGGGAGTGTGCGGTCATGGCTCACCAGGGCCCTCTCGTTGCATGGTGAGATGGCCAGGGCCTTGGTATATAGGTGGTCTGCTTGGACAACATCCTTCTCCTCTTCCAGAATGGTCCCCAGCTCCGTCAGAGCTTCCACAAAGTCTGGGTTCATGTTGAGCGTATGCACCAGCAGCTTGTGGGCCTTTTCCCTCTTCTTCATCTCCACAGCCTGTTGCAGTGCTGCCTTGGCCTCCAGCTGGGACTCTGCAATCCGCACACACCAAACACATTACATAACCAGGCTGTGCTGTCAAATAAATGTATTAAAGGGATACTTTGGGATTTTGGCAATGAATTTTGGCCCTTTATCTACTTCCCCAGAGACTGATGAATTCATGGATACCATTTGTATGTCTGCATGCAGTATGAAGGAAGTTAGCTTCGTGATTGTGTTAAAGCTAGTTAGGAATTGCGCTAACACTAGTTAGCAACTTCCTTCAAACTGCATGCAGACATAAAAATAGTATCCACAAATGAATCTGGCTCTGGGGAAGTAGATAAAGGGCTTCATTGCCAAAACCCTGAAGTATCACTTTAACCCATTAAAAAAAGGTGATTTAATATTTGTACTTTCAAATATGAATCATGATCTCAAGAGTATTAAGGGGGTGATCCTGCTTGCCTGACAACGCATACTTAATTTAGTCGGGGAGATCAAATCCAGACTCATCATGGAGAAGAAAGGTTAGAGGGCGTGGCGTTTCGCCGGAGCCATGTGGATGGGTAGCCAGGCTATGATCCTCCCACCTAGTAATGGAAACCGAGGCTTTCTGAACCATTTGGGGCTTTCACCAAATTGTGCCGAAAAAACTGTTAATTACTCTGAGCTTTTAACACAGTGCACATTAGTGACAGCTGCTGGTCTAGAATACAGAACAGCATGTTTGATGTTTACACAAAAATGTATGCACGCATGACTGTAAGTCGCTTTGGATAAAAGCGTCTGCTAAATGGCATATTATTTATTATTATTATTATTTATATTCCCATTTCATCCATCCAAACTTCGTGGTGAGAGAGTTGGTCAACTAAATTTAGTTTGAATGAGGGGTTTTCACCCTCCAGGTTCACAATTCTTTCAAAAACGGTGCATCCGTGGTATTATTTAGGATGCTGAAGACAAAAGATTATCATAGGCTACACAAAATAAAAAGTTATTTGAACAACAAGGGGAAAACAGTGTGGTTTCACAGAAAAAAAAAAAGTTCAACCATAGCCAGGATTCGATCTTGTGCCTATGCTGGTGTCTGAACCCAAATCCCTGTCCCTACCCGCTGAGCTACCCATTCAGGTGCTATAAAAAAATAAATCTAACTAAATTTGGAAATAAGGTGTCCAGTAGAGGTCGGTGTTTGAACGCAACTTTGCATTGAAGAAAGCACCGGCACCATGGCGAATCAGTGGGATCTCGCATTTTGCAACACACAGTTAGAAAAAGCATGTGATCAAACGAAGCTTCAGACGTCATTGATCACGTGGTAATGTTACTTTGAAACTATCCGTTTATGCTTTGAAACGAACAGCCTATGCTTATCGAAACTCATCATTTAAAATGTTAGAATATTGGGATTTGATCATGTGCCTCCACAAGACTCACTCACCGCTGCTCTACAGTCGGAGCCACCTGTCAAGTGAGAAATGGAGAAGAATATCTAGACTAAGTCTGTAAATAGTGTCCAGCAGAGGTCGATGTTTTGGAAGCCACAGCGGGATACACTGAATGAGGGATCAAACAAAGCTTTGTAGGTCATTTATGAAGTGGTAACTGCTTCTCAAATTTGCTTTGGGTTTGAATTAAACTTTTTCAACTCACTTTTACATAAACAAAACTTTGGATCCATAATTTGATAATTACCAATAACTACTAAAGCTGTTTAATTTACAAACACCGTTTGAGAAAGAAAAACAATCTAAATAGGCGCTATCAAGATTAGATACTAGTGTGCTACGATTTCAGAATAGCTTCCTTTGCCGTATTAATTAAAATAATGTATCCGCTTGAGGCCCCGCCATGCTCCATTTGAGGTATAATAAAGAAAATAAAAAAATCCCCATCAAAACCTGTCGGTTTAAGATAGCAATATCTGTTTCTTTGCATGGGCTATGTCTCAATCCAATGTAGAAGTGTTTAGAAACATTCTATTCTTATTTACAATTCATTTCGATTGGACACAAAATAATCTGAAACAACCAAAACAAAAAGCAAATGCCTCCAACAAGTTTGTAGAGTCACAAGCTTGATGTAATCATTGCATGCTAGAAATATGGGACCAAACACTAAACTTTTGACTACTTTAATACACATACAAGTGAATTTATCCCAATACTTTTGGTACCTTAAAATGGGACAAAAAGTGCTGTAATTTCTAAACGGTTCACTCGATAGGGATGAAAATACCCTCAAATTAAAGCTGACAGTCTGACCTCAGTCATTGTTTCATTTCAAATCCAAAACAAATCCAAAACATGAACTGTCCCAATACTTTTGGAGCTCACTGTATATGTTCCTCAATTACCTCGTACCCCATATCAACTCAGTACTGGTACCCCGTGTATATTTAGCCAAGTTATCGTTACTCATTGTGTTCTCTTTTCTCTGCATTGTTGGGAAGGGCCCGTAAGTAAGCATTTCACTGCTAGTCTACACCTGTTGTTTACGAAGCATGTGACAAATACAATTTCATTTGATTTAGTGCTTTGAAAATCGCATCGGAGCTCCGGTATCATTAGTCCCATCACTACCCCCATCCACAATACACTCCGGAAATGAATTATCCCCATTAGCTGACAGCTGTGTTTACCTTTTGAACAGTGTCCTACCACCGACCATCGATTTTTATTCTTACAACCAGAAGTACACTGCTCAAAAAAATTAAGGGAACACTAAAATAACACATCCTACATCTGAATGAATGAAATAATCTTATTAAATACTTTTTTCTTTACATAGTTGAATGTGCTGACAACAAAATCACACAAAAATTATCACTGGAAATCAAATGTATCAACCCATGGAGGTCTGGATTTGGAGTCACCCGAAAAATTAAAGTGGAAAACCACACTACAGGCTGATCCAACTTTGATGTAATGTCCTTAAAACAAGTCAAAATGAGGCTCAGTAGTGTGTGTGGCCTCCACGTGCCTGTATGACCTCCCTACAACGCCTGGGCATGCTCCTGATGAGGTGGCGGATGGTCTCCTGAGGGATCTCCTCCCAGACCTGGACTAAAGCATCCGCCAACTCCTGGACAGTCTGTGGTGCAACGTGGCGTTGGTGGATGGAGCGAGACATGATGTCCCAGATGTGCTCAATTGGATTCAGGTCTGGGGAACGGGCGGGCCAGTCCATAGCATCAATGCCTTCCTCTTGCAGGAACTGCTGACACTCCAGCCACATGAGGTCTAGCATTGTCTTGCATTAGGAGGAACCCAGGTCCAACCGCACCAGCATATGGTCTCACAAGGGGTCTGAGGATCTCATCTCGGTACCTAATGGCAGTCAGGCTACCTCTGGCGAGCACATAGAGGGCTGTGCGGCCCCCCAAAGAAATGCCACCCCACACCATCACTGACCCACCGCCAAACCGGTCATGCTGTAGGATGTTGCAGGCAGCAGAACGTTCTCCACGGCGTCTCCAGACTCTGTCACGTCTGTCACGTGCTCAGTGTGAACCTGCTTTCATCTGTGAAGAGCACAGGGCGCCAGTGGCGAATTTGCCAATCTTGGTGTTCTCTAGCAAATGCCAAACGTCCTGCACGGTGTTGGGCTGTAAGCACAACCCCCACCTGTGGACGTCGGGCCCTCATACCACCCTCATGGAGTCTGTTTCTGACCGTTTGAGCAGACACATGCACATTTGTGGCCTGCTGGAGGTCATTTTGCAGGGCTCTGGCAGTGCTCCTCCTGCTCCTCCTTGCACAAAGGCGGAGGTAGCAGTCCTGCTGCTGGGTTGTTGCCCTCCTACGGCCTCCTCCACGTCTCCTGATGTACTGGCCTGTCTCCTGGTAGCGCCTCCATGCTCTGGACACTACGCTGACAGACACAGCAAACCTTCTTGCCACAGCTCGCATTGATGTGCCATCCTGGATGAGCTGCACTACCTGAGTCACTTGTGTGGGTTGTAGACTCCGTCTCATGCTACCACTAGAGTGAAAGCACCGCCAGCATTCAAAAGTGACCAAAACATCAGCCAGGAAGCATAGGAACTGAGAAGTGGTCTGTGGTCACCACCTGCAAAACCAGTCCTTTATTGGGGGTGTCTTGCTAATTGCCTATAATTTCCACCTGTTGTCTATTCTATTTGCACAACAGCATGTGAAATGTATTGTCAATCAGTGTTGCTTCCTAAGTGGACAGTTTGATTTCACAGAAGTGTGATTGACTTGGACTTACATCGTGTTGTTTAAGTGTTCCCTTAATTTTTTTGAGCAGTTTAAGTGTTCCCTTAATTTTTTTGAGCAGTGTATAATATATTCATGATAACTTCACACTTACCTATACTGGGCTTGGCCCTAAGGGGTAGGAGATCGAGGGCTGTGGAGGGGACAGTGAGGCTGGTGGACTGGACAGTGGGGAGCTGAATTTTGCCCCATAGCTGGCAGTGCAACTTGGCAATCCCCTTTAGAGTGGCACAGCACCGGTCCTCCACCCCCACCAAGGGCCTCATCAGCGCTTCCAGACACCACAGGAGCAGGCAGAGCAGCGGTCCCCATCCAGCAAGGAGACGGCCACTGCTGTAACGCCACCACACCGTTTATGCAGCCATCATCACTGATGATAGTATCCTCCATTGTCAAGTGGCACGTTCCCCATCTATTCCAGTTGGGCTAGCCGAGGAACAGCTGTGTAGGATGCAGAATCAGGAGCAGTTCACACAAAATGTATGATTGTTTCATTTTTGATAGCTGTCAGTTGTGTGCATGTCAAACGAAAAACTTAGGAGGCATTCTTTAACTAACGTTAAACATAGCTAGATAGTTAAAATGTGTTCAATTGAGTAGCTAAATAATGAATTCAACCAACTAGTAAGCCTAGCTATATGGCTAAATATACTCACCCAATACACAGGACATAGGATTGCTAGCTAGCTAACTGCCGGCAAGCATCTTCGTCTGCGTACTCACCACATTGCACCATTCTTGACTAAAAATCATACTACAAGCTATGTGTAATGATAAATAAAAAGTATCAGTCTCTAAGTACCCACTATCGTTTGTAGACTAAAGATAAATTAAGTAGCGAAAAAGCTGCTTAGCTGAAATACACATCAACTTCCTGGGAAAGCAGGCTGGTATATATACTGGAATATGATTGGGCATAAGAAAATTGTTTGTTGCTGTTGATTGGCTCAGATCTACCAGTTCGTATCCCTCGTTAATTGGATGTAGGCTCCTGCTTTACAAATGGTGTTCTGCCTGATTAAAATGTAACCAAAGTTGAATACTATGCAATGTAATAACTGTCAGGTTATGACATTGGAATTTGGTGAGTAAATCATTATGCATTGATGAAATAGGTCGACCTGTATATTATTGTATCATAACCTAGCCTGCAGCCTATGTTGACAGTCAGCACTGACTAACTTGGTGATCATGTAACACACACTAAATTGCAAATAGGCCTATAGATATTCCCATTTCATTTTACCATGAGAGTCAGTGCTGAGAAAAGTCCTCTACCAGTTTAAGGGGGGTAGGTAATTGACAAAACGACACACTGGCGGGAGCAACTTGAGGGGTCCAACTGCAGACATCTCTCAGGCCCATCATCTCCCAGGCCCGTCTCTATACTGCCACCTACTAGTGGGACGACTTTAGACATAATCTCTTAGGGCCTTCATCACAGAGTTTCTAAACCCAGAGGCGCAACATTTTAAGACTTCCGGGAAAGATAGCGAAACAGACCAAACAGACTAGGCCAGGGTTTGGGGTTTGAGAAGTCAGTGAGAGAAGTGAAAGATTGTTCCTTAGTTGTTCATTTTCTAGAAATCTAAAGGCACAACTTCGATTTGAACCAATATCTTAAGTAGTTGAACATGTTATTACTCCAACCTTGTTGAAGTGACAAACTGACACGTTTTCGTCAAAAACAACTTTATATAAAAGGAGACGACTGTTAGACATGATGACGTGTTTTTACGCATGAGTTTAGCTAACCAAGGTCTCCTCATGACATCGCCTACAAGTGTGATCGGGGATTTCTAATGGAGAAGCGTTTTTAGCCTGGCTTCATATTGTACTGTCTTTGCCTTCATCTCAGGCCCCTCTCAAACGCCAGGACTGTCATTTCCGGGCCTTACACATGAAGCGAATTTTTTTTTCTTCTGTTTACCACAGACAGGATAGCGTCCAAACGTCTGACAACTCACTTCAGGTCGAAACTAATACACAATGAACGGTACACAATGTCCTTCGTCCCCACCTGCCGAATACTGTTTTCCTGCAGTTCTGGTAACGTTAAGGTGAGGTAAGTAGCTAGCTGTTAACTTTACGGCAAGTGGAAGTAGCTAGCTAGGACATCAGTATACAGTGTCCTTCGCCCTGTCTGCCGATCACTGTTTTCCCGCAGTTCTGTTAACGTTACAGCGAGGAAAGTAGCTAGCTAGCTAGGACACCCGTACTCATATATCTTATTCCTTGTATTGAATGGATCTAGTGTATGCCTATCAGCTAAGCCAATATTTTGTTAACCCACTGATAATCAGTCATTGTCGCCTTGAGTCGGTTAAACACTGGTTCGTAGCCCTTGCAAATGTAAATGCTATTTCTTTCCGGGAAATACAGTGGGTATTTACAAAAACGTTGTAGTATATGCATATTAATAAACATGATATCTATAGGCTATACTGTGTGATCAGATAAACCCTCCACGTGTCGTGCTTAACTCTCTCTCCCTGTTGCAGGTCAAATAGAGTACAGGCAGTGTGGAGGGTCTCAGAGGAACACCTGCCAGTGGTGTGATTCACAGGAATGGGCTTTGCATGTAATTACAGACTGCCACAAGCCAAACCCCTGGGGGAGTTGATTCTGCTAATTTTGATAGGTTAATGAAAGCCCTGCCCTGTAGATCCCTGATAATGGAGGCTATACAGTAAATTCATTAAAAGGCATACAGCAAATTATGCTTTTGCAGAGATATATTTCATTAAAAGGCATACAGCAAATTATGCTTTTGCAGAGATATATACTGTACTTAAAATATCCTCCTACTTGGCAGTCCCATCACTACAGGAGGTCAGCTCCTGCTCAGCCCAGTCAAAGCTCTTCTCTTCTCTGTCCAGGCACCCCAGAGTCCTTGCCCATCTTCCAAAAACATCTGAAACCCTACCTCTTCAAAGAGTATCTTAAATAAGACATCTCAGTCTTATTCCCCCCCACCCCCCAATTTTTTTTATTATTTAAAAAAATAAAATAATGTGCACTTGTCTCTTCCTACTAGCACCGACTTTGCTGATAACTTCTTTATTGAGGAAAAATGTTGTTATTACGACTGTGATATGTGGTTGTCTCACCTAGCTATCTTAAGATGAATGCAACTGTAAGTCGCTCTGGATAAGAGCGTCTGCTAAATGACTAAACATTTTAATGTACTACTGGTGTCCGTTAAGGGATACTTCGGGATTTTGGCAATGAGGATGTTAGAGGTACACTACCGTTCAAAAGTTTGGGGTCACTTAGAAATGTCCTTGTTTTTGAAAGAAAAGCAATTTTTTGTCCATTAAAATAACATCAAATTGATCAGAAATACAGTGTAGACATTGTTAATGTTGTAAATGGCTATTGTAGCTGGAAACGGCTGATTTTTAATGGAATATCTACATAGGCGTACAGAGGCCCATTATCAGCAACCCGCAACCTGCAAAACACCAGTCTAAACGTCAACAGTGAAGAGGCGACTCCAGGATGCTGACCTTCTAGGCAGAGTTGCAAAGAAAAAGCCATATCTCAGACTGGCCAATAAAAATAAAAGATGGGCAGTCTGAGATATGGCTTTTTCTTTGCAGAGTCGCCTCTTCACTGTTGACGTTGAGACTGGTGTTTTGCGGGTACTATTTAATGAAGCTGCCAGTTGAGGACCTGTGAGGTGTCTGTTTCTCAAACTAGACACTAATGTATTTGTCCTCTTGCTCAGTTGTGCACCGGGGCCTCCCACTCCTCTTTCTATTCTGGTTAGAGCCAGTTTGCGCTGTTCTGTGAAGGGAGTAGTACACAGCGTTGTACGAGATCTTCAGTTTCTTGGCAATTTCTCACATGGAATAGCCTTCATTTCTCAGAACAAGAATAGACTGACGAGTTTCAGAAGAAAGTTCTTTGTTTCTGGCCATTTTGAGCCTGTAATCGAACCCACAATTGCTGATGCTCCAGATACTCAACTAGTCTCAGGAAGGCCAGTTTTATTGCTTCTTTAATCAGCACAACAGTTTTCAGCTGTGCTAACATAATTGCAAAAGGGTTTTAGCCTTTTAAAATGATAAACTTGGATTAGTAAACACAACGTGCCATTGGAACACAGGACTGATGGTTGCTGATAATGGGCCTCTGTACGCCTATGTAGATATTCCATAAAAAAATCAGCCATTTCCAGCTACAATAGCCATTTACAACATTAACAATGTCTACACTGTATTTCTGATCAATTTGATGTTATTTTAATGGACAAAAAAATTGCTTTTCTTTCGAAAACAAGGACATTTCTAAGTGACCCCAAACATTTGAACAGTAGTGTAGTTTTGCAAGCCAATGCTAACTAGCGTTAGTGCAATGACTTGAAGTCTGGTATCTGCTAGCATGCAGTCATTGTGCTAACGCTAGTTAGCAATTGTGCTAGCGCTAGTTAGCAACCTCCTTCAAACTGCACGCAGAGACATCCTCGAGTTCATCTGCCTCTAGTGAAGTAGATAAAGGGCCTCATTGCCAAAAGTATCCATTTAAAAGCACTAATTAGCCTCAGCCTGATTGAGGTGACAGTAGTCACACAGATTAAAGGGATTAGTTATTATAATCTTTGGTAGTCCTTGGCCTAACAAATTATCAATTTGCTGCAGACCCACAGGATTTTTCCATAATGCTGTGTTTTTATTTCCATTTGATCTGGATGCTTAGGCTACGTTCTAATTTATAAAATCACATTTTAGTCAGTCACTGTACAGCCATATAAATATTCATATTCTGTTCTGTAATATGTTTTATTCATGAGCTATGAATTTGGAGCGAGATACCTGCCAAAAGATTGAACGTAGGTATCGTTAGGATCGTAAGAAAATCCATACGTAAATTGTTAGGATCATAAGAAAAGCCATGCGTGAAACATGAAACGTAAACGTGAAATTTCATATGTGAACATTCAAACACCATGTTTCGATTACGTACTAACAGTTTAGGCTTGAACAAATCTTGTGTTGCAATTCTGACGTACAATAATACCTTTCAGAGTTTTGGCAGTTTCATCTCACCAACGTTTTTTTTTTTTTACACCAAACGGCCTGTGAGGAGTGCTATGAGAACAAACATAACACAGTATAAAAACCGGAAGTCAGGGAAACCGGAACGATGTATCCTGCACATTTTCAAGTTAAAGGTCTCCATTCTTTTTTTTTACTTCACATTTAGGTAGCTAATGTAATGGATTTGTTTGCCAGCACAAATCTAGATAGCACTAGCTGTATTATCCCTACAACAGGGATGTTTCTGTCCGCTAGGTGTATCTCTACAGCATGAAAATGTATGTACTCACTACTGTAAGTCGCTCTGGATAAGAGCGTCTGCTAAATGACTAAAAGGTAAATGTAAATGTAAATGTAAGCATGGGCATCCCCATGCATGCACCTTATCAAAATATGACTAATTCAATATTGCACTATCCCATTATCTGGGCAGTCATAACCAGTAGTGTCTACCAGGAATAATGAAACAGAATAATAATAGATGTTTGGTGAATCTATAAATGATGTATGACCACTGGAGTCCTTGCCACTCAAAATATTTAGACATTTATTTAATCATTCAAAATCTTGCCAAAGCATGTTCTGTAGATGGGATAATATGAATGTAAAATAATTGTACATGATTTATATGAATCGGGTCATGAACATATGGACTTTGAAATGAACAAGGGAGAGGTTAAACGTAGGCTAAGTCTGGTATAACTCTGTTGCGGTGGTCTTAGGAAGTCTCCGTATAGGCTATTCCCTCCATCGTGACACTGCTGCCCAGTTGAAGAGCTTGTGATCTCCGTGCAGCACCA